CATGATTAAAATCAGAAAGGTTATGCATAAGGGTTCTATCCTTTCACCATATTTATGTAATCTGTATTGCTGACCAAATAATCTGAGGACTGGACTGTATGAAGAAGAATGTGCCATTAGGTTAGGAGGAAGGCTCATTAACAACCTGCCTCATGCAGATGGCACAACCTTGCTTACTGAAAATGAAGAGGGTCAAGGCACTTACTTATAAAGATCAAAGAATAGTAACAGCCTTCACTATAGATTAAAACTTAATGTGAAGAAAACAAAAGTCCTCATAAATGGACCAATCTCATGATAAATGGAGAAAAGATTGAAGTTGCTGAATATTTCATTTTACTTGGATCCACAATCAATGCTCATGGAAGCAGCAGTCAAGAAATCAAATGACATATTGCACTGGGCAAATCTGCGCATAGATGTCACTTTCAGGACTAAGGTGGGCCTGACCCAAGCCAGGTTGTTTTCAGTCACCTCATATGCATATAAAAGCTGGATAATAAATGAAGATCAGAGAAGAATTGAAGCATTTGAATTATAGCATTGGTGTAGCATATTGGAAGTACCATGGACTGCCAGAAGAACAAACAAATCTCTTTTGGAAAAATTACAGCCAGAATGCTGAGTTTGTCTCAGATACTTTAGACATGTTATCAGCAGGAGGAACCAGCTCCTGGAAAAGGACATCATGTTTGGTAAAGTAGAGGGTCATAGAAAAAGAGGAAGGCCTGTACTGGGATGGACTGACACAGTGGCTACAACAGTGGGCTCAAACAGAACTGTTGTGAGAATGGTACAGTGCCAGTCTGCTGTTCTCTTGTTCCTAGATTACTGTGAGTCAGAGCTGTGACTCAGGGACACCTAACTCTATTGAAATAGCATCATTTCTGTAATCTGAAGGGCTAGGGATGGGAGAAAGGCTGAGGGTGATGAGAAAGGACTAGAATAAGGGAGAATTGTAGACTATGGGAGTCTTAAGGAACTCTGGTAGCGTAGTGGTTACCAGTTGAGCTGCTAACCTCAAGGTCAGCAGTTCGAAACTACCAGCTGTTCTGTGGGAGAAAGATGAGGCTTTCTGCTCTCGTAAAGTATTTATAGCTTCGGAAACCCTATGCATGGTCACTATGAGTCAGAACCAATTCCATGGCATTGTAGGATCAGCACTGAACTGCTGACTACAAAGTTGGTGGTTTAAACTCACAAGCTTGTCCTGAAAAATCCTGTTCAAGTTTACTCTGAGTCGGAACTAACTTGACGGCACTTAGGAACAAGGTGTTGATGGTACAGTACTTTACTTTGATTTTTTAGTAGTTCCAGATGTGATAAAATTGCATCGAACTGTACACACTAAATATGAGCACAAGCATAACTGATCATATCTGAAAAAACTCACTGGATTGTCCATGGATTTTGGTGGTGTTTCCTAGTTTTGATTTTGTACTACGTTGTTGTTAAGTGCTGTCTAGTTGATTCTGAC